TATATTCCTCCAACACAAGTTGCAGTTGTGACACGTCGAAAAGCAATACCTTTAGATGAAAATGAAGGTATTTATGTTCGTGATATAAAAACAGGTCGTGTACGAGCTGTTATTGGTGAAACTTATATGTTAACACATGATGAAGAACTTTGGCAAAAGGAATTACCTAAACAAGTTGAAAATTTACTTACACGTGATCCATTAGCTGAACGAAATATGCTAACTCGTAATCAAGCATCGGATAGACCTCAACAACACGCAGCTACTACTATACAAGCAGCAAGTACACTATCAAGTACAACTGCACGTGATAATTCAAAATTAGTTACTTATCGTGTACCACATAATGCTGCTGTACAAATTTATGATTATAAATCTAAAAAAGCACGTATTATTTTTGGTCCAGAACTTGTCATGCTTGGTCCAGATGAACAATTTACATTACTTTCATTAAGTGGTGGCAAACCAAAAAAACCTAATCAAATTCAAGCACTTTGTTTACTTCTTGGTCCTGATTTTTTTACTGATGTTATCGTTATTGAAACAGCTGATCATGCCCGTCTATCACTTCAACTTTCATATAGTAAATTGATGAATTATAATTTATTTAATATTCTTTATTTTACTTATTTAGATTGGCATTTCGAAGTGAAGGATATGAAGGATGAAAAAGAAACAGAAAAACTTTTTTCAGTTCCTGATTTTGTTGGTGATGCAGCTAAAGCAATTGCATCACGTATTCGTGGTGCTGTTGCTGGAACTCAATTTGATGATTTTCATAAGAATTCAGCACAAATTATTCGTGCGTCAGTATTTGGTCTTGATGCAAATCAACATATAAGAGATCAATTTGTTTTTCCACAAAATAATCTCGTTATTACATCAATTGATATTCAAAGTGTTGAACCAGTTGATCAACGAACACGTGACGCACTTCAGAAAAGTGTTCAATTAGCTATTGAAGTATGAATAAATTAATTGATTTATTAGATCATAAATATATATAATAAATTCTTTAGATAACAACAAATTCACAAGAGGCTGCAGCTAAACATGAAGCTTCACGTCGTGAACAAGAAGCTAAAGGTTTATTAGAACGTCAGCGTATTAAAGATGAAGCCGAAGCTGAAGAAGTTCGAAAACAACTTCTTCTATTGCAAGCTGAATCAGCTATTGTTGAAATAACAGGTCAAGCTAAAGCTGAAGCACAAAGTCGTGCTGAATCTGCTCGAATTGAAGGAGAAGCCGGTGTTGAACAAGGTACAAAAAAAAACATTATAATACATATAGTAAATATTTAAATAATGAATTTTTTTTTCTTCTTTTCTATAGCTACTCTTAAAGCCAAAGCCGCACAAATTGAATCTGAATCTGAATTATTACGTCTAAAACTAGCACGTGAAGCTGAAATAAAATTTTTACGAGAAAAAAACGAATTAGAAATTAGTAAAAAAGCTGAAATCTCAAGAATTGAAACAGAAAAATTTAAGTCACAAGTTGAATCCATTGGTGCATCAACAATACAAGCCATTGCCACTTCTAGTTCAGATACACAAGTTAAACTTTTACAAGCACTTGGTCTTCAATCAATGTTAGTTACTGATGGTCATACGCCAATTAATCTTATGGGATTTGGGCAAGCTCTTTTAGGTGATTTTGCTGGTAGTCCAATTAAAAAAAGACGATTATCAACTGGTGTTTCGAATAAATTTAATGTCGAAGAAACTGAGTAGATCAGACATGTGAAAATGTCATCGTCTTTAATTCATGTGTATTGAAGTTATTTTCTATACACTCGGTTTGATTTTTTTTTAATATTTATGTAAGAATAATAAATTGAACGAAAAAATTTATATTAATTGAATTTTTCTGTTCGAAGCTAGACTTTGATTACTATAGAACAAACATTCAATTCGATAGAATTATTTTGTAGCAGATAAACATAAGTCAAGGGTGTGAACTACAGACTTCATTAGATTTCATAGGTACATATGAGTAAGATAATTTCGGTCTCGCAAGAACCGAAGTAAAAAACGACTGGCTCCGTTCACATGTATTCGTAGGATTTCAAGCCCGAAGTCTTCGTTATTTTCCCTGCGTCTTGAGTATTATACTCATCTTTTGTTTCTTTTTTTATTGTGAAACACGATCTATAAAGAAGTGTTGAAGTATATAGGTTAGAAATATTTAGATGGATGTAAAAGAAGAGAAGACCCTCCTTCGCCCTTCCCCCCACCACAGACCATGAGACACTATATATCAATAATGGCTCGTTGCAATGTACTGACTACTTTCTTATTTTACTTCTGGAGGATTAAAGTAAAAAAACGGATGGAGAAGTTCGTCTCAAGATACATGAAAATACAACGATCATCGTGTAAATAGCTATGATAACTACATTGTATTTCAGATTTCAATGCCGTAGAGATTACTTTAGTAGCTTTTCTAGTGGTTTCGATGTTGGTCTATTATTGAATCGACGACTAGCTCCTTTTTCGGGCTTATCTCTTTTGAATTATGTTCTGATGCATCTCACTGATACGTTCATTCTCTTAAAACTATAGAATATTCCACTATAATCTTTAATTTCGGTTGGAACAACTTTTTTTCTCGTAGTTGTCAATATGTTTATAGAAGAATTTTTTCAGGAGTTGGCTAATTCGAATTCGAATATAAATGAAGAGCCTGTTGCTTGCTATCGATTCGAGAATAAATGCTAAAGTAGAAATCGAAACGTTTATGTACAATAGATATAGATAGGAGTAAATTGAGCTTTTATTCTCTTGCATTTATAATTTATATATAGGGGTGAATTGCAAAATTATTGTACCGTTATATTCTTATATGTAAAAGTTCAATATCTCGAGTTCTTCTCAGTCAATCTCTATGATTTTTTCAGGTTAGATTTCTCTAAGAAGTCCTCACTACCACACAAAAAAATCACAAATTTCATCTTGAACTAATCTAGAGATATTGGATGCGTAACGTATAATAGATCGATTTTTACTGTCGCCTATAAGGAAAAAGTCATATAACCGATTGGTTCCTTCTTAATTGAACTTCAGAATTTTGCGGGCGTGGGTGTGGATGGGTGTGGATGGGGTGTGGGTGTGAGACTTCTCCGGATGTCGGTACTCACCCGCACATCCACGCCTACACCCACCCACATCCACACCCACCCACACATCCCACACCCGGCCACACCCACACCCAAAATCAAACTCATAATGTTTTCGTTGTTTTCTTTCGTTCTCACCCAAAAGAAAAAAAGTAAAGTATCCAACGCATTGGCACTCAAATAATTCAATAGATGAAAAACAAACGAAAATTGGACAGAATAACAATGCAATTGCTAATGTTATTGGCAACCATATAATTAACTGCAACTAGGTAAAGTTTGTCTTAAGTGTCAACGAAACAAAAAAAACACATCCACATTTAATGTCGTAGAAAAATTTAAAAAAAGAAAGCCAACATCGAATTTATTTAGAAAAAACGAACTTTATTAAAATAGCAATTCACTGCGCAGTATACTCTCACTAATCGACGATCTTGTCCTATTCTTTCCAGGTTCTTGTTTTTCTTTACTTTCAGACAAGATTCCTGTATTCAGGCAAGATTCTTTTCGACAGGAAAGTAAAAAGAATCTTGTCTGAATTTCAAGATGACAAGAATCTCGTCTGATTAATCAGAAATAAAAGAATCAGGCAAGAATTATAAGATATTCAAGATATATTTAACGTTCAGACAAGATTCTTGTTAAAAGAAAAGATAAAGAATCTTGTCTGAAGTTCAAGATCAAAAGAATCTTGTCTGAAAATTATGACAAAACAGAAACTGGAAAGAAATATAAGATATTTTAAATTTCTTAGTATTCAGACAAGATTCTTATGATAGAAAAGAAAAAGATTCTTGCCAGCTTTTCAAGATCAACAGCACGTGATGTCGTCTTTGTATGATCAAATATATAAAGGCAATGTCTGAATGTTATTTATTCATTATTTCAATTGGATGTATAGAAAAAGTTTCCATTCGATATCGAGAAAACAGTGGAATATATGATATCTTTTTTTCCATTGTTTTCAGAAAACTTACACTTATTAAACACATTTCGATATTTTACCAATCCACATCTTTCTATTTTATTTTTTTTAGATTTTCTTTCATTATCCACAAAAGTGTTTTTTTAATGGACGAAGAAAATATTGATTCCATCAAAAAATTATTGTTTGATAATGTTCTTGGTAGTATAGGTAATATCTATATGCACTTTATATCTTTTTGATTAAAATACTATCTTTTTTAGTCATCACCACATACAGATAAACAACGTCGATGGCGTGCTAAGAAAAAAGATCAACATCATCGTACTCAATTATCTCTACATCATTTACTAATTGAACAAATTGTAAATAACTTATTTTAATCGAGCTAGCTCAACACACAACGATGATGAAGTTTGAAAAAATAAGTATTTTTTTTGATAATTAAAATTTTGTTTTTTTTTGTATTAAAAACTGACACTGCTTTAACAACATGTGAAATTAAAAGTATTTTTTTGTTTTTTTTTACATTTGTTGTACATAGTGTGCAAAGCTTATAATAAAACGATATGAAAAAAGAGTAATAATAACCTACAAAAGGCTTTTTAATGTGACCAGAATTAGGCACGAAACACAAGAAATAAGAAACAGACAAGAATTTAAGAAAAAAAGAATCAGGCAAGTACATCAAGAAAAATAAGAATCAGACAAGAATTCAAGAAAAGCAAGAATACAAGAATCTTGTCTGGAGAAGAACTTCTTGCCTCACCAGCCAAGATTCGGTCTACACGAATCTTGTCAGAAAGGCAAGATCAGTTTTTTCAGGCAAGAATCTTGTATAGAAAGAATAGAAAAAGAATCTTGTCTGAAAACCAAGAAAAACAAGAACCTGGAAAGAATAGGGCAAGATCGTCGATTGGTGCTATTATGGATTAAACAACAGAGTTTTCGTTTAAAATGAATCAACAACGACGGCGACAAATGGCTGAAAATTACTTAGTGATTTGGGTCGACGGCAATATCAATATGGCAAACGAACATTGCCAAAACACACTCACACAATTGTGCGGTGTTGTTAATGAAGTCAATCAATGCACCACCGCCGAAAAATGTATTGAGACGCTTCAAGAAAATAGTGAGAAGACATCATTTGTTATCTCCTCTGGTGCACTTGGCCAACATCTCGTACCAGAAATTCATGGCATGCCAAAATTAGATGGCATTTATATCTTCTGTGGCAACAAACAACGCCATCAAGAATGGGCCAAAAATTGGTCAAAAATTAAAGGCGTTCATACATCCATTAAATACATCTGTGAAAAACTGGCAGTGGCTATTAAACAATGTGATCAAGATCAGGTAACTGTTAGTATTATTGACATCAATGAAGGAGATGCTAGCGAAAATCTCAATCAGCTAGAACCATCCTTCATGCATACACAAATATTCAAAGAAATTCTCCTTGATATGGATCATGGCCGACAAGCCATCAAAGATTTGGTCAAGTTCTGTCAAGAAAAATATCAAGGCAATCGTAAAGAACTCAAATTTATTCAAGAATTTGAACGTACCTATCAATCAACATTGGTGATATGGTGGTATACACGCCAATGTTTTACAAACAAAATGCTTAATCGAACATTATGAACGCTCGATAATGACATTATTATCCGAATGGGTTTTTATTTATGTGATGTCCATCGGCAAATTAAAGATTTACACAGCAAGCAAATCAATGAATACCATGGTAAGACATTTCTACTTTATCGGGGGCAAGGATTATTGACGGCAGACTTCGAAAAAATCACGAAAAACAAAGGTGGACTTATCTCGTTTAATAATTTGTTATCCACCAGTAAAAATCACGATGTATCCCTCGGGTTCGCCAAGGACGCCTTAGAAGCAACAGATAAGGTCGGTGTTCTTTTTCGAATGACCATCGACCCCACCGAGTCTTCGACTCCATTCGCTTCCATTCGAGAGCTGAGTGATTTCGCACAAGAAGATGAAATTCTCGTCTCTATGCATACAGTTTTTCGAATTGGTGACGTTCGAGAAATTGACAAGAAAAGTCCACTTTATGAAGCGCACCTTAAACTTACAGTAGATGATGATCAACAACTCCGTCGATTAACCGATCGTATACGAGAAGAAACATTAGGTAGTGCTGGACGGTATCGAATGGGTCAATTGCTGCTCAAAATAGGTCTATTCGCCAAGGCCGAAGAATTATATACCGCATTACTAAAACAGGCATCGGATGACAGTCATAAAGCATTTATCTATCGTCAGCTTGTGGCCTGTGGGGGGTGAGTGAAGAAAATATTGACAGTCACATCCTAATTTTATACAAAAACATTGATAAGATTCACAGTTTTGTTATCAATCGAATATTAAAAAAAAATTTATTAGACAGTATAGGGTGTGGGTGTGGGTGTGGATGTGGGTGGGTGTGGGTGTGGGTGTGGGTGTGGGTGTGGGCGTGGGTCTGGGTCTGGGTCTGGGGTGTAGGTGCGGGCGTGAGTGTGAAACAAGATGATAGTACACCCACACCCACGCCCACACTCACAATTTATCATTGGATCTTGTTGATCAAGTTGAATAATGGGTGTGAGTGTGGGGTATAGTCTTGTGCTCACTGACTCACATACCCACACTCTTAAGGACTTTAGGAGTGCATAAAAAAAAACTATCTGAGTTTTCCGGAAGCTCAAATAATGCATCACTTCCAGATCTTATATGTCCCTGTAGAAACTATCACGAATGATAATCGAAATGTCTAAGAGAAACATAGATAAACGCATAATTTTCTCGGCACAGATGAGCAGTTTTAAGCTTCGTGGAGAAGCTCTTTCGTCGTTAGTTATGCATCGATATTCTCATCCTCTAATGATTCCTATTTGGTTTGATCTATAAAAACCATTCTCTTCGTTTTTATCCGATGTTCTTCAGGTAGTCACAAACTATCAGAAGGATCTGTAAATATACGAAAAGAAAACATGTGATCGTTATTGCTTAAAATTGTGGTCCTAGATTATGAGAGCGAAATGACCGGTTTTTTTGTGTGTTTACACGCGTTTTCAGCCCTGATAATTGCTTGATATATATCATGCACAATTTGTGCAGTTGTTGCCATTCACGTGTTGACATCTATGCATTAGTTTCAAAATGAACATGATCGAATCCATTAGTGATCTTGGTTTCTTTTATTTATTTCGAAAGATAAAATAGTTTCATCTATGAAGAGAATTTTCAACTACAAAACAGAATTCTTGTTTATAGAAGACGAAAAAATAGAGAAGGTTTATATTTGAAAGATAGATATCAGGAGGAAAAAAGCTTTTGTACGTAACAAAGCTATTTTCTGTCCAGAAAGAAAAAAAAATATCGGATTATTTTTATGATCGAGGTAATCCATTCTTCTGGATCATTGCTGTCGCCTTTCGTTCATATTCAGCTCGGTTTTGTATAAATTCTTTAGCGATGTCTATAACAAAGTAAACAGCAAAAGAGGCAATAGGCTACTATTCAGAACAAACCGGCATTCACTGGACCATCTTCAGGTTTAGGATTATCAAGAGCGTCGACAATAATCTGAAGAACTTCTATCAAAGTTGTTTGATTGTTCCACGTTCCAGTAAGAGTCAGACGATTATCACATAATCGATCTACACAATAGAAAAATAAATATAAAACTGATGATATCATTAGCAACCTTCATTTATTTGCTATTTCTCAACAATAAATTTTGCTTACTTTTTTCGTTAACATTTGGATGATAGATTGGTGTCACTATGACCACTTCAGGTGGTTTCATTGGATATTCTGGTGGTAGATGAATTTCAATTCGAAGAGCATGATTTTTATAGATATTCGATGTTAGTTCTAATCGTCCAATGATAACATTTTGAGCATAATCCTTGGGCAATTCATCTTGCGAATAGTCGAATGAAGAACTTTCATAAGTAAACTTGCCTTTTTTTAGTTTATTATTTTCACCCAATAATTTGACATCAGTCAATTCTCTCCAAAGTTTCTTATTTAACGGACTCGGAGCAGCTCCTGCCATAGAAGGAATAAAAATAATACAATCTGAAAAGAATACAATACAAATAACGTCTCTGTACATTTGTTAGATTTAAAGAGAGAATTTCATGATGATTGATTGTATTTTTGGAAATTTCTGCATGTGTGTATGGGCTTTTTGTTCTATGAAAGAAATGAAAAAAGGTAACTCTTTATGATTAATGTACATGTATTTGAAAATTTGCAAACAATCTTTGCATCACACTTTCAAATGGCCCCTCTTCAGTTGATGATTTGTTTTTTTTCGTTTCTTCTTGCTATTTAAGTCTCTGATTTTTTGAAAAAAATATTCATTCGGAATACTTAAAAGTTGATACTCTTCACTGAAAAAAAATGGTACGATACAGAACCAAAAAAGATATTTTGAACGAAAAAAAGGTTTCGTACATAGTACGGAATCTAAAAAGGTTTCGAATTCGTTGCAATTCTCT